ATTAATATCACAATACAGTGAGAACGAAATAACACATATCTATATATTTTTTAATTTTTTATTTTTTTTAGTAAGTATTTACATATTTTTTTATATTATATATAAATATATAACAATAATTATATATATATATATATTTAATCAGTATCAGTCTACGTGTAATTTGATATATATATATTAATAGTAAAATACACCTATACAGTGTACGTGTGTGTATGTATATGTGTGTGTGTGTATATATATATATATATATTATTATTATTATTTTTTTACACTTTTAACATTTATTTAATTTTATTTCCAGCCAGCAGGGGGACCACCTGTCAGGTGATCCTGTGTGTTAGAGGGTGATGGTGTGAGGGAGGGAGGGTGACGGTGTGAGGGAGGATGATGGTGAGAGGGAGAGGGGGGTGATGGTGAGAGGGGGTGATGGTGAGAGGGACAGGGGTGATGGGGAGATGGGGTGGATGAGAGGGAGAGGGGTGATGTGAGAGGGAGAGGGGGTGATGAGAGGAAGGGGGGTAATTTTGAGAAGGAGAAGTGGGTGATGGTGAGAGGGAGATGGGGATGATGGTGAGAGGGTAGTGATGGTGAGAGGGTAATGGTGAGGGGGGGAGGGGTGATGTGAGAAGGAGGGGGTGATGGTGAGAGGGGGGTGATGGTATGAGGGAGAGTGGCATGATGGTGGTCCAGTGTGGGCTGCCTGGTGTTCCAGTGGACTCCCTGGTGGTCCGGTGGCCATTACATTCGGCCATCAGAGACACCGGTATCTCGCGAGACCTGCCAGAGTGTTGCCATGGTAACCTGCAGACCAGTGTCTCTGATGAAAAAGAACAGATAAAAAGGCTGCGCTAAATAAATATAATGAATGATGTATAAAATCTTAATAGAGTCTCTTAGAGTCTTAACTGGAGTAGGATCTTCTTTGAGTCCAAAGTCCGTAAAGTGCTTGGTCTTGGAAGGTGCTTATCCCAAGGAGGAGTATCGTGGCTGCTTTTTCTTCAACAGAATCAGTAGCTTTGGAACGAAAAAAGCAGACACACAAACCAAAAATAGTGTAATATGTCCTATATAATACTCACGGGGGGTAGAGATGTAACTAGCTCTAGTATAGCAGGCATGCAGTGGTATGATCCCTGCTTACAGGATATAATGAAGGATATGTTTCAGGACTCTTTGTCCACGGGAAGATGGTGCACTCAAACGAAAATAGAGAAACAACCAATAGTGCTCACTGATTGGAATAATATAAATAAAATGGAAATAAAAAGGTACTCACAAGAGTGGAGCAGGCAAACTGCTCCTTGAAGATAGCGTCGGTGGTATGATCCCCACCTGAGGATTACTTGGAGTCCACAAGATAAAAGTGCCAGGTAAAAAATAATAAATAAAAATGTGTGTATAAAATGTATATATAAAAAGATATTGGTACAAATTAAGAGTAACCAAAAAATCTTTAATACAATAAAATACACATATATAGTATCCACAAACGCGTTTCACCGTAAAGGCTTCTTCAATATGGAATTTCTTTTTATCTGTTCTTTTTTATCTTTACTGTATTTGAGGGTTGTTTGAGGGATTCCCTATATAGGTTGCAGCTTCCTTGTTATCTAGCGCTTACTCTTTTTTACTTTTTAAACAGTGTCTCTGATGGCTGGCCGGGCAGACAGAAGGGGCCTCGCATACTGAGCAAGCCGCCCGGCCCCCTCCAGCCAGCGTGAGACCTTAGGCGGCCACCTAAACCCCCTAATTAGAGAGCTGCCTCTGGCATGGTGTGTGTTGGGGGGATGCCCTTCGGGTATAAATGCCTCAAATACTACACAAAAGTGGACCCATATAGGGACACGGCAAAGTTCAAGTTAATCCTTTCTATAATAGACACAAGAAATTCAATACTATAAACAATTTTACTGTTTCTTGTTGTTGTAGTTTTTTTGTTTGTTTGTTTGTTTGTTTGTTTTTTTTAAACAACCAGTTATTAAACTAAACAATTTTTCGCTTTCTCAAAAATCATAAGGGACTAAAATGCAATGTATCAGTAGGAAATAAGAAAGGGTTTAATGTAATATCCACTGTTATATAGTACCTAAGACATTTTATTTCTGTATGTAATATATAATTTGAACTGAAGTGTTAAAATGCACTTTTCCGTCTTGGGTAAATAAATAAACTAGATGTTTTTTGCTTAGGAGTGCCTAGACTGCAAGCCTATTTCTACTCATTGATAATCCTTTCCTTATTTGCTTATTAACTATTAAGAGACTGATGCTGTTGTAATGATGATGCTGGATAATTGCACTGTCCCACTAATATATATATATATTTATATATATTATACATAGTTCTCTATGTTGAAAAAGACTAAAGTGCACAAAGTTCAACCGTAAACCTTATTTTTTTATGCTGTTTGTCCAAAGAAGGCAACAAAAACCCAATTTTGCACAAAAAAGGGGGGGGGGGGAGATCCATATTGACTCCATAATGGCAATCAGATTTATCCTTGGGTCAACAGCCTGTTTACATACATATTAGTTATATCCTTAAACATATTCGGTTTATAAAAAAACAAACATCCAAGTCTTTTTAAAATTTTCTGTAGAATCTTTCTCCTATTTTAAGCAAAAACACTTTTCTTCCAGACCTTTTGTCTGTGTTATATATTCCTGTTAATGAATGGGTTAGCGCAGTTTGTATTAACCCAGTATATATTTGTATAGTACTATCATATGCCTTTTTTTGTAAATAAAACTATTCCTGTTTTTCTACCTTCCCCCTTCTTAGTTTTGGAGCTCACTTCTGCACTTTATCTAGTTCTGCAAAATAACACCACATATTCAAAGTTGGGTCTTACTATTGACTTGTATAGAAGCAAAATTATATTTGGTTTACGTGACTCAAAACCCCAAAGCCCCTTACTAGCTTTTGCAACAGCAGATTGGCATTAATTGTTCCCAAGTCTTTTTTATTTAATGTTATCCCTCTACCCCATTTAACATATAAGTTGGTTGTGGGTTCCTTATTCCAAAATGCATGACTTTGTATTTATTTGTATTAACCTCATCTTCCACTTGCCTGTTCAGTCCCCCAATGTATCCAAATCCCTCTGTAGAGCTGTTATATCATGTTCAGAATGTATTTTCTTACCTAGTTCTGTGTCATCTGCAATAATAGACAAGTGCCTTTCAACCTCCACTTCAAGGTCATTTAAAAATTGATTAAAGTGAAGTGGACCGTGGACAAAACCCTGAGGCACACCTCTTACCACTTTTGTCCAATTTGAAAATTTTCCATTTACAACTACTCTCTGCATTCTATCTTTAAGCCAGTGAACACATTTTTTGTGTAAACCAACTTATTTGAATTTTGCTAGTAACCTTTTGTGTGGAACTGTATCAAATGCCTGTGTTCAAAAGGTTTCACACAAACCAAAGGTTCCACAGACAACTGGGATCCATTCTCTCGATGTACATTTGGCTAATACATTAGTGCACCTTCCATAATTATTATTTTCTTTTAAATATATTTAAAAAATTAGGAAACATTTTTTGTTCCCTTTATCTTAAAGGGACTCTCCAGTGCCAGGAAAACAGAGTGCCCCTCTCACTCCTCCCCGCCTCCCCCCCATCCCATGTTGCTGAAGGGGTTAAAACCTCTTCAGTGACTTACCTGAATCCAGCGCCGATGTCCCTCGGTGCTGGGTCAGGCTCCGCCCACGCTCCTCCACCGCCAACATCAGCCAGCGGGGGAGACCTAAAATGAATGTGCGGCAATGGCCGCACACGCGCATTAGTCCTCCCCATAGGAAAGCATTGAATAATTCCGGTGATGCTGGAGGTCCTCATGCATAGTGTGAGGACGTCCAGTGTCGTTTAAAACACTTTTTGTGTTCTAATAACACGGAAGTACCTAACTTCCAACAGACAGCCACTAGAGAAGGACTTAACCCTGCAATGTAATTATTTCAGTTTATATTGCTGGGTTGGTGGGAATTGGCACCCAGACCACTCCAATGGGCAGAAGTGGTCTGGGTGCCTGGAGTTTCCCTTTAATATTAATGAGTGTTTTGGTGTAAAATAGTGTACACTGAAGATTACTATGTAGCATTTACATGCTTTCTTTATTTTGTGTATGTTTACAGTTACTAAGAAATGAAGTCGTGTGAATGACACCCTTTAATCATCACTTAATTGATCATAAGTTTCCTTGCTCATTATGTTGTGTGGCTTGACAACAACCGCAATAAATGTAAATGCGGCTATGCATTTCCAACAAATAGTATATTGTATTACACCTAAGCAGGCATGTTGGACATTCTTTGTTACTCCACATAACTACCAGTTTAATGGAACTGTGGTCACTACACTTTTACACAAAAATTATTGGTGAGTATTTGACATCTTCTATACAAGTGAAAAACACAATTTAAACTTTGACATTAATAATACTGATAATGTGGAAGAGTTAAAGGCCTAGTACTAGTTCAGAGGTATCCTTTTTTTGTCAAACGAATAAACAGAGGATGACTCTAGGGCCATGCTGGCACCAATAATACTATATTCAGCTGCAGTGGCTATGGTAGGTAACAGACTCCATTAAAATAAGTATCTAAGATCCAGTTCAAGCTATAACAAGCACAAAAGCAGTCATGTTTTCTCTAGAAGTAGTCAAGCATTTTTATCTCTGTGTTTACTGCTCAAAAAAGAACTACACTATATGGAAGTATTGGGACACCCGACCTTTACACAAACAGAGATTCTATGACATCACATTCTAAATACATTGACATTAGTATGCAGGTGGTCCCCACTTTGCAGCTATAACAACTTTCATTCTTCTGGGAAGGCTTTTCACAAGATTTTGGAGTATCTCCATGGGACGTTTTGCCCATTAATCCAGTAGAGTGTTTGTGAGGTCAGTCGGATGAGAAGGCATGGCTTGCAAACTCGTTCCAGTTCATCCCAAAGGTGTTTGATGAGGTTGAGGTCAGGTGTGGGTCAGTCAAGTTCTTCCACACCATGCACTTATCCAAAGATGTGTTTATGGATCTTGTTTGAACACTGAGGCACAGTCATGTTGGAATAGAAAATTGCCTTCTCTAGACTTTGTAGACAAAGTTGAAAGCATAGTATTGTTCAAAATATCTTGGCAAGCATTAAAATTTCCCCTTACTCAAAGTAAGCTGCCTTGAAAAACAGCCCTATACCATTATCCCTCCTCCACCAAACTTTACAATTGGCACAATGCAGTCAGGCAGGTAACATTCTCCTGACATTCATCAAATTCCAACCCATCAGAATGCCAAAATGCCAAACAGAGAAGTGTGAGTCCAGTGGTGGTGTTCTGTACACCACTCGATCAGACGCTTGGCATTGTACTTGATGATGTGAGGCTTGCATGCAGCTGCTCAGCCATGAAAACCCATTGTGCTGATATTAATGACAGTGGAAGTTTGGCGCTCTTTGGCTATGGAATCAGAAGACCATGGCAACTTTTACACACCATGCACCTCAGCACTCAGTGACCCTGCCCTGTGACTTTACATGGTCTTCCACTTCATGGCTGAGTTGCTGCTGTTCCTAAACACTTCCACTTTCCAATAATACCACTTACAGTTGACAATGGGATGCAAGGATCCATCTAGCAGTGATGAAATTTTACGAACTGACTTCTTGCAAAGGTGGCATCCTATCACAGTACAACACTTAAATTCGCTGAGATCTTCAACTTACCCAATTTTTCACAAATATTTGTAAATGCAGACTGCATGGCTAGGTGCTTGATTTTATACACCTGTAGCAATGGGTCTGATTGAAAAAAAACAGAACTCAGTATTTAAAATGGTTGGCTCCAATATTTTTGTCCATATAGTGTATATTTATATAGTAGCACATTTTCGGATCTAAATAATTGTATGATCAGATTTATCCATAAACAAAAATATCTTCAGACATTCCAAAGTACTCTAAAGGGGATTGATTCAAGCTAAACCAAGAAATACAAGGCTGCAAGGAATGATGAATGTAAAAAAACAGACAAAAAAGAGAAAAGAAGGGGAGTTGATGAATGGTAAGCATGTAAAGTAGAAGGAAGGTTGCGGCTGGAAAAGGTAATTAATGCAATTTAGTAGAAAGATTAATTTCTTGCACCATATATATTTTAACTTCACAATCAATATAGGAGGAAATGTATGAAATGTAATGAGCCCAGAACACGCCAATTCAGCATTTTCTTGAGAACTAAATCTCATTGTGGGCTACAATCTGTTATAATTCAATATACATTTTCCTATAGATGTCATTGGGGAATCCTTTAACAGAGTTAAATGTATCTCCTATAATAGAATCCAATCTCAGCCTCTTGACATATTAACAGCAGATAAGCACTAAAGCATCATTGAATTCTTCATATTATATTACTAATTTGGTTTGAGAATATCTTTATGCACATTAAAAACATTTGTAGATTGTATTACTATTTTACTAAATCTATTTGAAGATTTTTTTTGAAACTTTAAACTTTTTCTTACAGTACTCCTCAATCTCCAAATCTTCAATTTAAGTACTCTGTCCTCTACTTCAAATTAAGGAACGGTTCTATTAGATTAGATATGCTCATCTCTTGTAAATGTATAGCAGTTTTCCTCATTGACATCTATGGAAAATGCAATTATTTACTAAACTTTGAATCTGCAGTATAATTGCACCATTAAAGTTTAATAGACAAAATTGGCTCTGGGGGCGGGTCGGGCCGTCGAGCTGACCACAGGCTATCACATACAGCTCTGGCTCCAGGCCCCAAAAAAGAACATAAATACCATGAAACAACCACTTCAAGACCCACTGGCCAGATTACATGGTTGAGGGGAATACCCCAGAAGCAGCTCGGAAACCAGGATATGGTCATTTTCCTATCAATGCAGGAAAACCAATGCCTGCGGTCTACTTACACATGAGCCTACTCCGCACAGTGCTGAATGAGGAAAGTGTGCTGCCGCTGGCAGTTTCAGCTGAGGCTGACACCCATGGGGACTGCTCGGCCCCGTTCCCCTGCCCCTGGGCATGTTATCCCGGTCCATCACTCCATGACTGCACAAGTTTAGCAGATCAACCGCGGGCAGAATAGGGCCTACTGAGGTTGCGGCCTTTGTATTTCAGACTGCTGTCTCCAGATTGCTTCTACTATTAACACCGCTTCTGCTCCGCAGAATAGGGGTGCAATCTTACCTGGCAGAGGGTCTGTCGCATCCGAGTTCCAGGATCCCGAGTGGCTACCAAGAAGGCGCAGTGCTGTTTGGAGAGGTGGCTGAGCATGTAAGGCTTGACCGCTGGATGTCATGGGGGTTCCGGAGGATGTTTCCCCTATCGCTGAGAGCCCTGCTGAGGGGGTGTCGAGATCTCCGGCAGACCAGTGGCTGTGAGGTCAAGTGCACACTGTCTCAGAGAGGAGGCCGGTGGTGGGCGAGGCATAGAGAGGCTATATGTGTTCCTGGCCCGGATATCAGTGGCATACCGGAGGTGCAGGAGGTGGCTGACAGTGAGGGGGGAGCCCTGTGGCTTGGCAGGCCTCCGAGTGTCTATGGTGCTGTAGATAACCAGATGGGATAGTTCTGCTTACACCGATCCGGGACACTTGTGTTCTTGGATGCCCCCAGAGAATCCCAGTGACAACCCTTAGACAGTGCAGAGTGGGCCTCTGGTTTCATGGGATAGAGTGGATTAAAGGAACAATTTTTCTTTTACAATTTTCCTTTTTTTTCCTCTCTCTTTGGAGGCTTTCTCCAAACCAGGAGTGTAACTACTGAGCCCTGAGAGAATTCTGAGGGGCCTTCACGCAGGCATTTGTTTTCATTTCCCACACCCAGGGAAACGTTTTTTTTTTTTTTCTGTTTTTTTGTTTTTTTTAAACACTTTGTTATAATTATAGTTCATATTATTGTTTTCTTGTGGCAGTGTTATCTGGATACACTATCCTAGCTTATTAGATTGATGATCTAGCGATATTCTTATAGTTTTTGATCACATATTGACATTCTAATACTGAATATCCTGAATACACTATACTTGAGAAGTTTGATTATCTGCGCTGTCCTAACTTCTGAAAAAGATGCTATTCTGATGTGCTGTAACGCGCTTTGCTCTCCATTCCATTTTCATATTAGTTTTATCTCATTGCCTCCTTTTGGCTTTACCTTAATAATACCTAATACTGTCTAACTTAGTTCCACGATTTAAATGCTAAAGTGCATACTATATATTGCCTATGTACAATAAGTCAATTTGATTTCAGCGCTGTTGTACTAAATCCATCTAATGCACTTTATTCACCTACTGTCCTCAGTACCGATTTGTCCACAAGGGATATTGCAGTTTCCCAGCCTAATCATCACTATGTTACTATGCAGCCCCCAAAATACGGCAACCACTGCAGCGTTAGGCTCTTGTATTGACGCTTCCTAAACCAACCAGCAGCTGACAATTAATTTAACTCCAAATTGTCAACATTTGGAAACTTTACAAGCACATTGTAGAATGGTTTTGTGCTAACATATATTATGCCTCTGCGCAGGCAAATGTCAATGTACTATTGCTTTCTGTGGAATGTTTGAACTTAGTTTGCACTCAAAATAAAAACCATTTAAAACAAAATCTTTCAGAGAAGCATTAGGAGCATACAAAGCAATGAATGACAATCACAGTGCTTCTATAATCAGATGCTTCTCACGGTGAACCAGTTAAGCTCTCTGAAAAGCATTCACAGGTGTGGCTTTCAATCTAACAGCCAGTAGAGACATGTTTATTGCCACATTTTGAATACAGCAATATTTTAAAGCGAAATAGGACAGGATCTATGCACCAAAACCGCCTTTGTTAATGTGAAGTCGTTTGGGTGCTTAAAGTGTCTATTTAATAGCAAGCTGAAGATTCATTTCAGTCTATGCTTCTCCCCCAACATGCACCCATTTACATCTGCGAATCCCCTTAATCTCAGTGTTTAACATATCTGAATTCTATCCTGTAAAATAAACAAAAAGTATGTACAATGCTTGGATTAATAGGAACAAGTGGATATGAGGAAGTTGGAGAAATGTAAGATCACCTTCATTGTTTTTCACTCCCTGTATTATGTAAAAAACAATAAAGGTGATAGGAAGATGTCCAAGAGAGGAATACAACTTAAATAAATTTATTTAAAACAAAAATGAATCAAAAGTATGATTCCCCAGCATAGCAGGGATATAATTAGTGAACTTAAAATATATATATTTATGGTCTCCTATCAAATTGATGGCTTTCAATCAATGTATTTCTGCAAGAGAACGACCTTAGCCATTCTCAGTAGAGTTATCTCAAATGTAAATTGCATTGCTTAATATATTTTTCTATACTATTACTGAGAACAGTCCCTTAAATTGGTATCACAGTTTGACATAAAGAGGTAAGTGGTTTCAATGCTATTTCAATTAAAATGTATTCTTCGTATAACATTTTTACAGAACACTATAGTGTCAGGAATAGAAACGTGTATTCCTGACACTTTCGGGATTAACTAACTATTATAGTCGGCCTTCCTTAGATTGGTTAGGAAATATGTTTTTAATCCCTTTTTTTTTTAATGACCTTTTTTGGCTCCGCCTCCATGGATGAGATCATCATTCACCATAGGTACATTTTGGGAGGCTATTGTGAATCGGGGCCAAAACACCAGGATGCACCAATCAGCATCACCTCATAGAGATGGATTGAGTAAATTGATTTTTATGGGTAACGTTCAGCACGTCCATGCAGGCTTGGAGATGCTGAACATTGGTGATGCACATTGTGTGGCACTAGACTAGGAAGTACTTCTAGTGGGCATCTGAGCATCTGAAAAGGCAGTGTTTACAGTGCTCAGTCTCCAGGGACATACTAAACACACCAGAACCACTACATTAAGCTGAAGTGTTTCTGGTGACAATAGTGCCCCTTTAATTCAGCTAAGCTTAAACAAAAAAAAAAAATGATTATTTATACTCAACTTCTAAAACAACATCTTTATAAACTTATGTTTACAGGTAAACAAAATAAAAATGAAAATGTTTTTGTAGAGTATTAAGCCATAAAGGAAGTGAGATTTTGCAATCTGTACCATTTGGTTTGCAGCAATGTGACACAGGTTAAATTACTGTGACCTATTTTGACGCAGTTAAGATTAAAGACAGAACCGCAAATGTGTAGACAAAAATAGGTTGTTAAATATCAAATATACTGTATGTTGCTGTGGAACATTAAACGACATAACAGTTAAGTTCTTTAAAATAAGCTAAATAAAGGTAAATCTTTATAGAGTTTCAATGTATAGACATCTCTTAAAAATATTGATTTAACATAATAAATAAACATTGTAAATACTTATAATAATGTTTCCATAATTTTAAAAAAATACCCACTTTTACTATAAGGCTCAGTTGCTTTTCGAAAAGGAAATTATAAAGGCATATACATACGTACTGTACACATTCTACCAGGTTTCTTTGGAAACCAGCTGGTAACCGTTGCATTCTTCAAGTTAATTATCACAAAGGCTTTTCTTGCCATACTATGGGATAGATTTATCAAAGCACAACATAAGGGGGGGATTTAAAATAGTGTTCTGTTCTACAAATTGAATCACAGAGGTAAAAAGAGAGGGGTCACCAATGGGATGTAACTGCGGGTCCCACTGGTTTCCATGGTTACTGCTTAACATTTCGTACTTTCGAACACCTTTTTTTAACAGAACACTTTCATAAATCTCCCCTAAAGTGTCAATCATTTAGAAACCTGATCACTTACCATCTTTCCACTACCCCTTTCCCTGCTGGCATCTGTCTGTATTTAGAGTTTTTAATGTTGGTGCAAATTAGTGTTTTGCTTAGTTCTACTGCTATTAAACTAAATGTGTATTTAAGTTATTACCTGCAATTTCTAAAACCTCTTCATAAGGCCTTCCCACCAGTCATGCCAAGAAGCATCCATTTGTACATTTACCTAGGCACTATCAGTATTGCTAGCCTGCAGTGGAATTACTCTGTTCTCCAGGCAAATTATGAGGCATGATATTTAACTCTGGCCATCTATATTTGCTTCTGTTCAATTTCGGAACAGTATCATTTACATGTGAAACTCCTTCCTCATTTTCAGAACTAGCCTTTCTGCCCAATGTACGAATGTTAATTCTTTGTCATTTTTCTAATCAATTCCCTAAATATTGCTAACTGGTATGTTTTTGATGTTTTTTTGTTTCTTTTCCAAAATAAACACTCCTTGATAAAGCTATCCCCACGTATGTTATCAGTGCACTGTTTTGTATTGAGAGTTGTCATTATCAACAGAAACACATTTTCATATTACTGTACAATCTATGACATCACCCGTGTCTTCCATTTAAGAATCTTGATTCCCCAAGAACATCACAAAAACACATTTACAAAATACATTGGAATGTATTTTAGAAATCTATTTGAAATTCAGACATTTTAACTATCACTGTCTGGAAAGTGTTTATAGATGTTCACCTTCTGGCATTCCGGATATAGTTAACTAATGTATCCACTATGATGAACCAACCCTTTTGCTGGACAATCACTACTGGAGTCCTAGTCCACAAATATCTGGACTGCCCAAGGTTATCCATCACTGGTCTAGTTTAAAAGGTGTCAAACCTTGGCATCAAGGATCAAAATATGATGGTATGTTAAGGATTTCTTTCATTAACATTTAATTAAACAATTAGCAGTGTGCATCACTGAGCAAAGTGCTAAGAGTATTTAAAAAAAACACAACAGGTAATTTTTTCCTCGGAGACAGAAGTTTGGCACCCCTGGTCTAATTTCAGGTTTTTAACTGTCCATTTTGTGTAATGGGATTTATCTTTTCCAGTGAGACATCAGCATCATAATCCAAAATCCCAGAGAATGCTGGAGACATTTTCTCCAAACTTTTAGAAATAGACCTTTCTTCATCTTTACTCAAGATGTCATCTTCCGGACAAATAATAGCATGTGGAATCAGATAAACTAAGTTACACTCTTTTGGAGCTGAACTCTTCGGTTCCTGTTGACATGAGTAGACTACTGCTCCATTATTGTTAATGCTAACAGTTTCTATAGCATTACTAGATGTGGGACAGAGCCTGTAGCAGCCTAGTAGTGTTGAAAATGCTTTACGGAAATCCGCATTAAAAGCATATATAATGGGATTCAATGATGAATTTGCCCACCCAAACCACACAAAAACATCAAAGGTGGTAGAACTAATACAGAAAGGCTCTGTTCCACTTGTTTTCGCACTGGGGTCACAAAATGGCACCATGCAGTTTAGTATGAAAAATGGCAACCAGCAGCATACAAATACTCCCATAATCACTGATAACGTTTTTAGAACTTTCGTTTCTCTTTTGAAGGATGTTTTCAATGAGCTTTCAGGTTGCTGGCAATCAATACTGCTTCCATTGCCAGTGGTATTTTGGCAGTTCTTAGCATGTACCGCTGCCCTTTCCAAAGCCGAGATGCGTCTTATTTGTTTAGCTGCTATTCTGTATATCCTTGTGTAAGTTACAATCATGATGGCCACTGGTATATAGAAGCTAATCAGTGATGAAGAAATTGCATATGTCCTGTTCAAGCTGGAATCACAGTTGTCCATCGTGCTACCTTGTAAAGTGATGTTCAAATCAAAGAAACTGGTTGTTTTTGCTTTATGCCAGTTGAGTTGCACTGGAATGAAAGATATCAGGACTGATAATGTCCAGCAAACACTTATCATAATGAAAGCCACCTTGGGTGTCATTTTTCTCTCATATCTAAATGGACTGGAGATGGCCCAGTATCTATCCACACTGATTACGCAAAGGTTCAAAATCGAAGCTGTTGAGCACATTATATCAAAAGCAACCCAGATGTTGCAGAATGAACCAAAAGGCCAAAAACCAGCAATCTCCGCAACTGCTTTCCAAGGCATGACCAAGACCGCTACTAAAAGGTCTGACACGGCCAGTGAAATCACAAAAAAGTTTGTGACTTTGGACCTTAGGTGGCGAAACCTAACAACAGCAGCACACACCAAGGTGTTACCTAGAAGTGTTGAAAGTATTAGGACAGAAAGGAAACAGCCTGTAAGGACACGAAAAGATGAATCTCTTTCAGCTATTAACTCTTCTCCATCCATACTGGTGACATTTAGAGTCATATTTCTTCACAAAGTGAAATCATGTCATTGTTACTTTCCGTAATTAGTCTAGAAGTGTGTGATGGCTATCATGGACCGAAGTAGACTGTTGGCAGAGCTATTTCAAGTACCCATATTAACTGACTTGTAGCATTCTGTAGAGTAATAAAAAAAAAGTAAGTCTCACAATATGTCCATTTGTTAGTCACTACAAAGCCATATCATACAGTCCAGTTCTTTACTGTGTCCAAATTAGGCAATCACAACAATGGATCTGACATCACTGTACCTATTAGCACTGATAATCTGTTGCAATACATGGCAAATTGATGAAGAGCAAGCACTTTTCAAGGCAATGTAAAATTGCTTATTAATCCGCTGTATTTTAGGCCATCTCAACGTGCTCTTCTAGTCTGCAATAATGCTTCAGTGTTCCTGTTCAGTATTTTTGTACGCATTCAGAAATGCCACAAAGACAGAACTTCTGCAATTTTAAATCACTGAAATACGTTTATTCTTCCACTCTTGATCATTTCGAATTGCAACCCGCAGTGTTTCACCATGCTGTTAACAAAAAGAAAAAAAAATATTAATATGTATGCACAGAAAGAGTTCCTTTTTTTTTTTCCTTTAAACCGCTACATCCTACACTATTTTAAAGTTCCAATGTTTCATTCAAAGGAAATTTCTTAAGTGCTATAATGTAGCTTTTATCACCATTAAAATGACGTGAGTAGGAATGTGTTTCAAACCTCACGTCTTAAGGCTTAGTTTGAAAATGCACAAACATTACAATGAGAATATTTTTTGCATGTATAAGTATTTCAGTTTGCTATGTGGCTATGTGAATGTTAGTTACATTTTGTTAAATTATGTCTGTTCAAATGCATTTATTTAATTTTTTTCAGGGGAAGACTTACTCCTCAAAGCGTCTTAATTTTTAATAGTATTAATTTTTTATTCAACATCCTTCAGTTATATAGAGCTTTATCTTTTGCCTGCACTTATTTGAAGATACCCAGGCTCTGCAAACAAAAAACATAATTTATTATTTGTATATCAGGCAATATACTTTACATAGGTGCAGAATTACTGGCCATATAATTTAGTTGAAAAATATTTTTTTCTAGCCCATAACACCCTACATAAACTACACTGTATAACACATTAGTATACAAACATGGTTAATCTACTTGACACTTGTGTGCAATTTGTTTTTCCATTAGAAATTCTAAGATGAAATGCTGTATCTAGACATAAGTTAAACAATGGAGTGCATTAAAAATAAAAATTGCATTACATGTTTAACAAGACACCGACATGGTTTCTTTTTTATAGTCTTTTTTTAGCTCTTCGCCCTACTGCAGCTTCCTTCAATTCTCAGTCATTTAGTAAAACAAAGAAAAAAAGATATTGCAGCTTTCTACATCATAACATGGCCCCCTTGTCCACACCTCTCCATGTCACATAAACTGTTCATGATTACCCTATCTTGCAGTGTTCTTACACTGTTTAGTCACTGTGATCAGGCTTAGCAGGACTGAGGTAGAGCTTGTAGAGGAGAGGAAATGAAGCACATAGTAATTACTGCAATACATGTTTATCTGCCATTTTGTATTCACTTCAGCCGCCTGGTTAATAACTGTGGTAGTCCTTTGTTTGTGGACACCACATGTCACATGTCTTCCTTCTAAGGGTGGAAAGAAACTGTGCAAGATCTAATAAATCTATCTGCACATCTCTGATAACACCTTAAATCACACAGTTCAACCTTCAATTATATCAAAAACATAGCTTCCATCACCCATTGAATAACTGAAGCCACCAATCTCTTATGCCCCATGCAGCATTGAAGGTGTTCAGGGTATATAAGTACTATATAAAAGGAAAGCTGTGGAGTAGTGCAAGCTGTGTATAGTGGGAAAATGCACTCTGCTCAGCTTCACTGCATGGTGTTGGAAACGCTCTGTGACTGGCAGAGGGAATTATGGGTTTTAAATCTTTCAATGGGTGCTGTGGGGCAAATGGGGACTATAATGTCAAAAGTGCATGTATGTGTGCATACCTAGTGCTTGCATGTGTATAAATGTATTTTTCTTATTGAAAATAATAGGAGGAATTTTAGTCAGCATCCAACAGTGGGAGAAGAGGATTTCAAGACAGTAGAGTCAAAGGGAGTGCAGGAAGCAAGCTATCAAATCACCATTTCACTGTATCACCTTTGTCAGCAGAGAAGAATAGAGAGAAACTACTTCCTGATGACTGGATCTCAACCAGCGTCCAAAAGGAAAGCTGGTTGAGATGTGAAACATTAATGATAAAACTTGTAGCCAAGGAGCAGCTAGTCTAAAAAAACTAACACCAAAAAAAGGTGTTTAACAATGTATTAACAATATAGGAACCCTTTAAGTTCCAAAGACAATTTATTTCGATATAACAACCATGTCCTCGAATACCCTGCTAATTGTAACTAGGTGTCAAATCCTTGGTGTTTATGAACTACATCACGAAAAAAAATAATTCTTCAACATCTGGGTGCCATATTATTATTATTATTATTATTATGATATTTATAGAGTGCCGTCAAATATTCTGCAGCGCTTTACAATGGATGGACGAACAGACATGTAGTTGTAACCAGACAAGTTGGACACAGAGGGGTTGAGGGCCCTGCTCAATGAGCTTACATGCTAGAGGGAGTGGGGTAAAATGACACGTCCTTCAAAATTCTATTCAATTGCAGAAGGTACTATATACTTCCACAGCACATTGTACAGATTTATATTTTTTCTTAATATAACCCTGGTATCAAGCTTGTTATGCACATAAAAGGTTCGCATAAAGAGCGTTAATTTAGATTTATTTTATTTGCTATGCGCAAATAATTTTAGTCTTCTGTTAACATTATTCTTTCACAAAAACATTTTTCTGAATAAAATGTAGAAAAATTAATCAACAAAAAAAAAAGAAAGAAAAGCAGATAAGATTATGATTGTTCATAAAGAATTTAAAATAAAACTATTAGACACATTTATATATTTTTAAATTCAAAATAAATTAATACAAAGGTTAATTTGACAAAATTAGAAAGACTAGTGTGTATAAATTAAGGCCAGAATAGCCAATTTAAAAGGAGACTTGACTTTCTGCAATTCTCCTAATTTGGGTCTTTTGACCTAAATTTTTAAATTCACTTTGAATTAACGCTGAATGCCCAGCATTTTAGTCATCTTAATAGTGATGTCCTGATGTAACATTATGTGACATTACCCATTGGTAATAATGCATTTTACTCACACTTTCTGTAATTTTACTCACATTTAGTTGGAATTTTACTCACACTTTCTGTGCAATTTTGCATTAAGGGCAAAGTGTGTGTTTCTGATTTATTGCACCAACACATTATTATTATTATTATTATTATTATTATTATTATTATGATATTTATAGAGCGCCGTCAAATTCTGCAGCGCTTTACAATGGGTGGACGAACAGACATGTAGTTGTAACCAGACAAGTTGGACACACAGGAACAGAGGGGTTGAGGGCCCTGCTCAATGAGCTTACATGCTAGAGGGAGTGGGGTAAAATGACACAAAAAGGTAAGGATAGTATTAGACTAATGACAGTTGCAGAAGAGGAATCAGTCAGGAGCTATTAACAGTTTAATTGATACGCTTTTATGAAGAAGTGGGGTTTTTAACGATTTTTTGAAGGAGTGGAGACTGGATGAGCATCTAACGGAGGAGGGAAGCGCGTTCCACAGGAACGGTGTAGCCCTCGAGAAATCTTGAAGGCGAGCATCAGAGGTGGGAGTACGGACAGAAAATAGACGTAAGTCTTCAGCAGATCGTAAGGGCCTAGACGGGACATACTTGTGTATAAGGGAGGATAGATAGGTGGGAGCAGCATTTAACACATATTATATACTGTTTTAAAGGACAAAATGGGCTTTAATTGTATGTAACGTAAACATATATAAATCTCGTTTTTATCTCCAATTAGAGGGTAACGCCATGGGAACACGTTTTACCTCCAATGTATGTCTTTGCCACTATCTTGTAAAGTTACAGTGTTATATAAAAGATCTTGTTATTTAAATTTTTACAGTTTGAATTTTGATAAATGGATTTGATGGGCCTAATCAACATTGTGGGGCATTGTAGCTGTCTGGCAGTTCAGATTACCCCATAAACGCATACCTTTTGTAAATGTAGACATCAGTAGGTATGTCATATGGTATATTTTGAGCCGTATTATATAGCTATATTAGCACCGATTTATGGTGTTCAGCTATATCTAATTGTTATAGAATTACCCCTTTGTCATAACGTTGTCAGGTTTTTTGTGAAAATACAGGGCTGAATGTATAATCTGCCCAATGTATTTCTTTTTTGTAAAAATAGCAAGTTGCATTTTGGGGCATTTTTGTAGCTCACATATTTAAATTACTCCATAAATGCATGCCTTTGCAAATGTATACACCATGGGGACTCTCATGTATACTTTTGCAAAGTAACAATCTTAATCCTATCACTAATCCTAAACAAAACCCTAGTTCTAAACCGAATTATATTCCCAAATATATCCCTAATCCTAAACCTCATCTTAATCCTAACCCTATTCTTATGACTAACCCTAATCATAACCATAGTCCTAATCTTAGTCATAACTATAGCAATAGTTTTGGAAGGATTCCCTCTGCTAACTTCAACAGAGGAATTTCCTTGTTGGGCCTAACCTAATTCTAATCTGAACCTTAATCCAAACTTCATTAGAACCATAATCCTGAGGCTAATTCTAAACCTAATATTAAACCTAATCTTAACCCTTAATCTAATCTTAAGCATACTCCAAAGGGTTTCTCTCTGCTAACATCAGTACTGATATTAGCAAAGGGAATGCCAAGTTAAAACAGAAGAAAGCTTCTGTTGCCACCATCTACTGGCAGTTTTCTGTTCAGACCTTGGGGGTCTACCTCAAGCAAGCTGCCAGACCAGAGTCACTGTGGCAGAGAGTTA